CAGCATGGAGGGGACCAGAACAGTCATCCCAGCACAGGGGGGGACCAGAACAGTCATCCCAGAACAGTCATCCCAGCACAGGGGGGACCAGAACAGTCATCCCAGAACAGGGGGGGACCAGAACAGTCATCCCAGAACACACTTTTGGGGCCTCTGAGTGGATTCACTGCTCTTTGAGCTGGGCCTGAATTCATCCCAGCTGCTTTCCAGTCTCCCCCAAACTGGAGCAGCCTGTTCAGCTCAGAGACCACACCAGTGTGGGACTTGTTTTAATGCAAAACCAGATTATTTGGGGGCTCAGTGGATCTTTTTTCCGTGGGTGTTTCAAGGAGTGGGAGGGGAAACGTGGCAATAACCCCCAGATTTTCCCCCTTCCCTTCCTTGCAGGTGGCACTTGGGAGGATTTCAAGGAGCCTAGTTTTAAAGATTCATTCCTTTGATTATTTATTTTTTTTTTTTTAGCTAGCAAATGTTAGATGACTTTAAGAAAACTTAACTTTGAGTTCCTCAGTGTTTTTTTGACGGGAGGAAAGGGAGTGCTTCCCTGCCGGGGATGCCTCAGGCAGAACCCCTAACGACAAAATCTTTGCCTGGAGGCAATAAGGAATTTTAGAGAAAACTGTGGCTCAGAATGAGCTGCCTGAGGAGGGAAACTGAGCTTTGTCCTCCTGCCCTGCTGGGGAGCTGCAGCAGGCGCTGAGGTGTTTCCCCCCTCGGCCTTGTTTAGGAAGGAAAGGTGTTTGTGTGATTTTAGAGGCTCCTCCCGGTGAGTGCTGGGAGGAGTTGGGTGTCTCCTGGCAGGATCGGTGAGGAGCTGGAGCTGGTCCTGCAGAGGTAGCTTTGCTAACGCCGTGTGTTTTTCTGCTCATAGCATGGACCCATTCATATGACTAATTTAGGTACAGGCTTCTCCAGTGCGAGCGAACTGCAGGGAGCCGGGGCCAAGGCAGCAGGTTCCTCGGGAAAGGAGAGAGAGAGGGACAGGTGAGTGGGGGGAATGGCTTCTGTGAATTTCGTGGGACTCGAGGCTCGTTTCGTCGTAGGCGGGTTTTTTGTATTTTTTTTTAATGGGATTTTTTTGGTATTTTTTTGTGATTTTTTAAATATTTTTAATGCGATTTTTGGTATTTTTAATGTGATTTTTTTGTATTTTTTGTGATTTTTTTTATATTTTTAATGCAATTTTTGGTATTTTTAATGTGATTTTTGGTATATTTTTAACGTGATTTTTTTGCTATATTTTTAATGTGTTTTTTTATATTTTTAATTTGATTTGTGTTTTTAGTGTTATCTTTGTATTTTTTAATGTGATTTTTTGTATTTTTTAATGTGATTTTTTGCATTTTTTAATGTGATTTTTTGCATATTTTTAATGTGATTTTTGGTATTTTTAATGTGATTTTTTGGTATATTTGTAATGAGAGTTTTCATATTTTAATGTGTTTTTTTGTATTTTTAATGTGATTTTTTGGTATATTTTTCATGTGTTTTTTTATATTTTTAATGTGGGTTTTTTTGTATTTTTAACGTGATTTTTTGGTATATTTTTAATGTGATTTTTCATATTTTTAATGTGGTTTTTTTTGTATTTTTAACGTGATTTTTTGGCATATTTTTAATGCGATTTTTCATATTTTTAATGAGATCGGA